CTCTCTTTGGAATGGGCACAAATATGGATCTCTTCAAATCAGTTGGCCAGATGGTTGTCTTCCAATTTTCTTGGCAGAGATGAGTGAGTGCCTCCTGTGCTGCCTTACTTTCTTGAAGGATTTCAAGTTTTATTCCATCAATTCCTGGTGCCTTGTTCTTTGCCAATTTCTTCAATGCACCTTGGACTTCCTCCTTCAGTATCATTGGTTCTTGATCATAAGCTACTTCTTGAAATGGTTGCTTGAAACGCTACGCTCTCCAGTATAAAGATGCTAAAGCAAATGGAAGAAATGAGGAGGTCCAAGAGCTGAATGGAAAATTTCAGAGATCAGCTCAAGAAGGTAAAGCCAAATATTACAACAAAATATGCAAATATCTGGAATCAGAAAACCAAAAAGGAAGAACACACTCCATATTTCTCAAGCTGAGGGAACTGAAGAAAAAATTCAAGCCTCGACTTTCATTATTGAAAGATTCTCTGGGCAAATTACTGAATGATACAGAAAGCATCAAGAGAAGATGGAAGGAATACACAGTCACTGTACCAAAAGGAAATAGTTAATATTCAACCGTTTCAAGAGGTAGCTTATGATCAAGAACCAATGAATTTTGCATATACTAGTTATTAATTCTTCTCCTGTGGTTTCAACATCTTTATGAAACAGAGAAAATAATTTTTATCGTTTTAGAAAAACAAGATTTTTAGGGTATGGAATCCATTACTATATTTTATGGGCTCAGTTTAATTCCCCTATGTCTTATATATACATTTTTCGAAAGCTTCTAATATATTTCAGGTAAAGCTTTTAAGAAGAAACCATGGAGACAGGAAATGAGACACTGAACACAGACTTCATTCTCCTGGGCCTTTTCCCTGGAATGAGAAATGTCAGCATCCTTGTCTCTATTATCCTCTTGATTTATACCATTGCCATAACAGGAAATGTCACCCTGATCCTCCTTATCTGGATAGATCTGCACCTCCACACTTCCATGTATTTTCTACTTAGCCAACTCTCTCTCATTGACCTAGCTTTCATCTCTAGCACAGTTCCCAAAATGGTGGTCAACTTTTTCTCAGGGAATAGGAAAATCTCCTTTATTGGCTGTGGGACCCAGATTTTCTTTACCTTGACGTTGGGTATTGCTGAGTGCATCCTCCTGACCCTCATGGCTTATGATCGCTATGTGGCCATCTGTCACCCTCTAAAATATCCAATAATTATAAGCCACCGAGTCTCCCAGCAGATGGCCATTGGATCCTGGCTGGGAGGGGCCCTGGCATCCTTGGTCCACACATCCTACTCCATGCACTTTCCCCTCTGTGGCCCTCGAAATCTCCACCATTTCTTCTGTGAGGTAAAGGCCATCTTGAAGCTATCCTGTGAGGATATCTCTGCCTATGAAAAAGGGGTGGTAGTAACAAGCATTGTTGTGGTTCTTCTACCGGTAAGCCTCATTTTGACCTCCTACACACTTATTATCCTTGAAGTCCTGCGAATGAACTCACCTGAGGGGAAGAACAAAGCTCTGGCCACCTGCTCTTCCCATTTGACTGTGGTTACCTTTTACTATGGGCCAGCTATGTTGATATACATGAGGCCTGGGTCCTCTAACACCCCCATTCTGAACCAGGCCCTCTTTGTGTTTGACACCATCCTCACCCCCATGCTGAACCCCCTCATCTATAGTCTGAGAAACAAGGAAGTGTTAGGTGCACTGAGGAAGGTATTGAGAAAGTGTCTCTTGTCAAAGTAGATTGCCCTGTTTCATGGAGTTAGCATGAAGCTTTAAAGTATCACTAAGAGACCAGAGGGTTTGAGGAAAATAATTTAAACTCTGTGTTCCTGTTTTCTCCATCAATAAATGTTAGACTCGTCTTATTGCTGCCTCCTGAAAATGTCAGTTGTAAGTAACTAAATCCATAAATATTCATGAATTTTGGTACTGTAGGCACAGAGGAAAAAAGTAATAGTGTTTTCAAAGAAATGTCTCTGAAGTCTAAATCACAGTTGGTTCTTAGTTAAATGAGCATTTACCCAATCCTTCAGTTTTTTTCATTTATGTTATCTGTTGTTGTTGTTGTTAAGTGCCATCGAGTCAGTTAGTAGTGGAGATAATTCAATCTCCTCTTCCTTTTTTTAGACGTACCAAAAAAATGTATTTTGCTTAGGAAGAAAATAAAGTATGCCATCAGATTACATGAAACTCTTAACTTTATTATTAAACTTCTAAATAAAAGGCCAATTAATTCAGGGACTTTGAACCAATAAAGTAAAGCAAGAACTAGCAACTTTCTAAGTCTTCACTTTTTCACTCCAAATGATGCACTGAGTCATGCACATTAGTCTCTAGATTTAAGAGATATCTGTGCCCTTTTTTCCAATGTTTTCTCCTAATTCCCAGTAATAATTGTTTATTAATGTTCCAGCTCTGGCCCCTTGCTTCACTGCAGTCTATCCAAATTCCTACAAGAGTGATTTTCCTGTGTGCACATCTCCACTTCCATGGTCAAGGGACCATCATTCATCAGTGCTTTTCATGGACTACAGGGTAAACTACAGATTCCAATTTTCAATAGCTCACTTAGTCTGCCATGAATACCACAATATAATTGAACCCAGTGCCCAGCAGCTTGTAGTTTCTCCTGAGTACCATTTTCTCTTCCAATTTTGTACCTTTGTGTAAACTATTATCCCTGCCTGGAAAGCCTTTTTTCATCCCTCTCCCTTATCTTCATTCTCTTCCTTGACACTCCTACTCCCTTCTCATTATTCAAGTTTCAGTTGAATAATTCTCACTGTATACAACTTTCCTTTTTTCCAGACAGACTCAGGTGATAGGTCTGTACCAAAAACTAATGACTTCTCTCTTTGTATGCCATGCCTTGTAAAATACACGTGTATGTGTAAATTGGTTAGAGAGTGTATTAACATACATGATTAGCAGAGTTGCACAACCTAGTGAATCCTGTTATTTTTCAAATATTGAAACTAGTCTAAAAGAAATCTTTCTGAACTTTCTGAAATCATCAATCATAATGTTGCTATCTTCACTTCCCTCTATGCAGATGAGGAATTTGAGCCTCAAAAAGGGTTAGCAATTTCTTCAAAGGCACAAAGCTACTCAATGATAGTACAGAGTAAGGAATCAAGTTGTCTGCCTATTGATGGAGTTCTGCATTGTAGCAGTAATTGAGCCCAACAGAAACAAAAGACATTCATGCATGAGCATCAACCCCTTTATTAAGTAACTTCGGGATGTTTTCTGGTGTGGCTCTGTAGGATAAGCCCTAGGTCAGGGATTACCACAAGGTCAGGGATTCGAACCCATGAGCCACTCCTTGGAATTCCTATACAGGGTCACTGTGAGGCAGAACTGACTGAAAGCACTTAGGAATAGCAACAACAGAGTCTCAGATTTCCTCAACTGAAAAATACTAAGAATAATTTCTACCTTGTAGAATTGATCGCTGAATTAGTAAATATGAATGAAAAGCATTAAACTATTTTATTACACTAGAGTAAACGATCAATTTGGTGAGACCATCCAAATCTTTGCTGTGTTTTACTTTAGCTTCGTTTTTAATATATTGCACTTACATTTATAGGCATATACTCAAGGAGGCTTTCTACTCCCGTAAAGATTTACACCCTCGGAAACCCTGTACAGGGTCGCTATGGGTCAGAACCGACTCAACGGCACTTAACAACAACAACAACAACTCAATTTATATCTGTTGTTGTTGTTAGGTGCCATCAAGTCAACACTGATTCATAGAGACCCTATGCACAGCAGTATGAAACACTGTCCGGTCCCAGACCAACATCACAATCATTGCTAATTCTGAGCCCAGTACTGCTGTCACTGTGCTAATTGTCACTGGGGGGGTGGGGGGAAGGTCTGTCTCTTTTCTCTGACCCTCCACTTTACCAAACATGATATCCTTCTCCAGTGACTGGTCCTTCCAGATAATTTATCTGAAATATGAGAGATGAAGTCTGGCCACCCTGGCTTACAAGAAGAATTCTGGCTGTAATTCTTCCAAAACAGATTGTTTTGTTCTTTTGGCAGTCCATGATACTTTTAATATTCCCCTTGAATACCATAACTCAAATGCATCAATTCTTATATGGTCTTCCTTATTCGCTGTCCAACTTTCACATGCATATGAGGTTATTGAAAATACCATGGTGTGGGTCAGGCACACCTTAATCCTCAAACTGACATCTTTGCTCTTCAACACTTAAAAGAGGTCTTGTACTACAGATTTGCCTAATGGAATATGTCATTTGATTTCTTGATTGCTGCTTCTATGAGTATTGATGGTTGATCTGAGTAAAATGAAGTTCTTGACAACTTCAATCTTTTCTCCATTGCTATGTATGTTGTTCATCACCCCGTCTTCCTAGTCTGTCTTCATCTGGAAGCTCATCTAAAACCTGTCCACCATGGGTGACCCTGCTGGTATTTAAAATACCAGTGGCATAGCTTTTAGAATCACAGCAACTCACAAGCCACCACAGCACAACAAACTGACAGACGAGTGGTGCAAGTACAGTTTTACTGAAGATAATATAGAAACGGCTGCAAGCATACATTGACAGAGAACTTCCAGAGGTTCAAGACAGATTCAGAAGAGGCCGTGGAATGAGGGATATCATTGCTGATGTCCGATGGATCTTGACTGAAAGCAGAGACTATAAGAAAATGTTTACCTGTGCTTTATTGACTACGCAAAGGCTTTTGATTGTGTGAATCATGACAAGCTATGGACAACATTGTGAAGTCTGAGTATTCCGGAATACTTCGCTGTTATTGCTGGTGTGAGATGGTATCTCATTGTTGTTTTGATTTGCATCTCTCTAGTAGAAAAAGTCCAAGGTGCATTGAAGGAATTGGCAAAGAGCAAGGCACCAGGAATTGATGGAATAAAATTTGAAATCTTTCAAGAAAATGAGGCGTCACTGGAGGCACTCACTCATCTATGCCAAGAAATTTAGAAGATGACTATCTGGCCAACTGATTGGAAGAGATCCATATTTGTGCCCATTCCAAAGAGAAGTGACCCAACAGAATGCGGAAATCATTGGACAATATCTTTGCTATCCCATGTGAGTAAAGTTTTACTAAAGGTAATATAGAAACAGCTGCAAGCATACATTGACAGAGAACTTCCAGAGGTTCAAGCCAAATTCAAAAGAGGATGTGGAATGAGGGATATCATTGCTGATATCTGATGGATCTTAGCTGAAAGCAAAGAATACCAGAAAGATGTTTACCTGTGCTTTATTGACTACACAAAGGCTTTCGATTGTGTGGATCACAAGCTATGGACAAAATTGTAAAGTATGAGTATTTCTAAACACTTAATTGTGCTCCTGAGGAATATGTACATGGACCTAAAAGCAGTTGTTCAAATAAAACATGGGAACACTGAATGGTTTAAAATTAAGAAAAGTGTGTGACAGGGTTTTATTCTTTCACCATACTTATTCACCCTGTATGCAGAGCAGATAATCTGAGAAGCTGGGTTCTATGAAAAAAAACGTGGTATCAGGATTGGAGGAAGACTCATTAACAACCTGCAACATGCAGATGATACAACCTTGCTTGCTGAAAGTGAAGAAGGCTTACAATACTTACTGATGAAGATAAAAAAGCACAGCCTTTAGTATGAATTGAATCTCAATGTAAAGAAAATGAAAATCCTCACCACTGGACCAATAAACAACATTCTTATCAACGGAGAAAAAATTGAAGTTGTCAAGGATGTCATTCTTCTTGGATCAACTATCAACACTCACAGAAGCATCAGTCAAGAAATCCAGCAACGTATTGCATTAGACAAATCTGTTGCACAGGACCTTTTGAAAGTGTTGAAGAGCAAAGA